AAATAGCATGGCAAATAACAGGGACAAGAGTCTCTTCATTCTGCTCTTATTTTTATCCTTTCTGACAACAAAAGAGGCTGAGAACGAAATTATACCCCAAGGTTTGACGTCCGGCAAAACACATATATGAGCGACTTAGCTTAATTTTCATACTGCCGAGGAAAGAGAATAGACACGTACCAGGAGACAAAATAGAGCTCTATGTTGGGCAAAAAAATTAATAAAGATGGAATGGCGTACTCAAGCCGAGGGGAGCCGATTAAGCTAAATAAATTCGTCACTAAACATTGAGCTAACCTGCAATTTACAACAGTGACCATGAACCAACATTTGGACATAAAAGCTTTGAAATAAACAATACACATGTGTTTTTTTTTATCCCAAAACAACAAGGAAAGACGAAGAAAGCGTTCGTAACATCCACATCCCAGAATGTGCCAGACAAACTGGCGAAGACTGGATAGCCGAAGTGGTTTTCTTATATCAATCCGCATTATCCAGCATGATATTTAGCCAGCTTATACAGTCTACATGAAAAGAAAACTTTTCAATTTATCCTTCATATATTCAGCGAAGGAATACATTTCTCTACATCTGACATTATTTTGGCTTAGAATTGTATAGATAATCGGTCTCTGGGTACTATTTTCTGTAGGCGCACGGAGATTATGTCGGTGATCAACACAACACTCGCGACCCACGCCTTCTGGCCTGTTGGCATATCAGATTGCAACAAAGCGCGCCAAAAACAATGACGTGTTCTATTGGCTGCTCGTAAACGTATCTGACCAATGGGCGTGAAGAAAAAAAACCTCCATCTTCAGCGAGAGCCTGCGCGTGTGTTTTACATACATACACCTCTTTGCTGGCAATGGTTTGGCGGCTTTAATTGAATATGTTTATGTTAGTGCAGCTTGCTGCCAGCATATATGGAACCATACAGCTATATCGTCTCAAGAAGGCTATATTCTTGAATTTGTAATAACCATTTTCCCGTTCCTTATCACGTCATTGATTGACCTCCCCTCTTTTCCATGCGGGGTACCAGTTCACTATATGATAGCTACCACCCTGGGAGGCCTTTACCTAGACATTCTCACAATATGCCCCAGCCACCGATTTCTGGCTCTTTGTACCGGAGTGTTGTGTTGTTTCTGAAACCCACAACAGTTAGATAGTTGTCATTACTGAATACATCTGCGACCGGGCTATCTCTCATTATTCCTGCCGGGACTAGCATATGGCCGCAGCCGTTCTCATTGAACTATAAGCGGTGTCATTGTAAATAGGGTACGCGAGCTACACCAAGCAATGGATCTCGGCTCCATAGGTGGGCATTGGCCGCTTGACGGAACTCTTCCAGGAACGAAGGACGGCCAAACGGACAGTCCATGGGCTAGCGTATGAAGAAGTGGAATTGTCTGTCCTAAAGATTTAATGATCCATAACATAATGGGTAATAAGCTAGAAAGAGCAACTAAGCAACAAAAAATAAACTACATGCCTTTAACATCACCAGTGCCGTAATGCAGCATCCATGTTCGGGCTTCCGACACCTTGACTGCGTCTGTAAACGACAACAAAATGACAACACCAGATACGTAATGAACAGAAATCTATATAGAAGCAAGATAAAATTTTACACTAAGCGTGTAGCTATGCCTTGTTTTTTTTTTTTTTTTTGTCCGATGTCCTCTCATAACTTTATTTGACAATTCAGGCAAGTACATTTAGATATTTTTGAATATCGACTGGCATGTCACATTTAGTGCATAAAATATGGGCTCTGCTTTGTCCAGTCCCTAAAAACCACTTGCTATTGTTGGCAACGTTTGTCCCTGAAGTCCTCCATTCCCCTATCCACATATCTTGACTATTTAATCCATCAGGTTTTTCACGTAGTCTACATTTTGTAGAAAGACAATAACTTTAGATAGAATCCCATTACCTTATACTTTCGCCAAATGATGGTTTACGACTCACATATTACAAAGGTTTCTCATTCATTATGTTGATAAGATCTTCATTTGCATGAATAAAAAAATCTATACAATAAAATAAGTTTAGGTAGTCCTTACACAATGATTATTGAATTGTGCCGGCTGTCTTGATTTTTTTTGTAAGCTGACCTTGCATAACTGCATACCATCTTCGGTTTGGTAGGCCCTTTGGCCTGTGGGTCCCGATCTTGTCTCTAGCTTGTACTGAAGATGTACATGATATTGGCCCAGCTCCTATTAAGTCGATTTTTAAACTCATTGACTGTTCAAGCTTCAACCACTTTTAGTGGCAAGGAATTCCAGTCCTTCACAGTTCTAACGCTGAGTTACTGACCTCTGACCCTATTCCTAGCTAGTGGACGTTGTTGAATGTTTCTAGATTTGATGCATAGTTAAAATATTTTTCTCTGCATCTTGTAGATCCATCTGCAACTTCTCGTTGTTTTGTTTAAGTTGTTTTACTTCTGACGACAACTTGGACACTTCCTCTTTGTCTTCAGTCATCTGCTCAGCTATTTCTTATGATTGTGCCATTTGCTACTCAAACTTTGACAGTCTCTTTTGACAATTGGAAACCTTTTTTTATTGTCTTTTCACAAAAAAACACACACGAGGATAACAAAATTTTTACCTTTTGGACATGCAGGGCACGTTGTGCCATTATCAAGCAACGGGAACAGGTAGTTGCTCTGTGCATAAGGTGCCTATAATTGGCGATGGACTGACCTATCAGTGCTTTGTAGAGTCTTTCAATCTGTAAAATAAAAATAGTCAAAATTGTAATATGCTAAACAGTTTGGAAAATGATATTTCTACTAGAGTATTGCATTACTGTTGCATTATTATTTCAATGTCCTTGATGAGAAAGTAGTAATTGATACTAGCTTAGGACTTTCTATCAGTTTTAAGTGAAGTAAGTGTTCTCTCTCCTGTGGGTTCTGCGGTGGCCAATGAGACCAATGATTTGGTTGGGCTCCGAGCTCAGTCAGCGTACACGTGGCTGGGCTACTGCTAGCCGATGAGACTGCCTCTCTAGCAAAACTGGCGATGCTGGCGTGGCGATGTCTCCGAATGAAAGGGCAGTATGGAGTGCGCGCGCGCCTTATAAGGGGTTGGTTGATGACGTCATTTCGGATGACCAATAGCAGTGCAGTGAAGATAGGGTTGAGGTTGATATTGATTGAGTTAACAAAGTATTTGAAAGTTTTTATTTGATAGGGTTTCTGTATCGTGTGCTGATCTTTGTCCAAGTCTTTACTGTACAATTTCTGTAACTTCACCTTTACTAGCCCTGAACACGTAACCCGTGTTTAACCCCAATTCCTCACAGACCCTCCAGTGCACTTCCAAGCCATATATTGTACGTATGTTTCTGTTTATTATTGATATTCTTGCCCCCAAACAGAATTTTCACAATCTAGAATATTTACACACAGAGATTCAATTCAACAAAATTTCACCACATCAAAGTTCCTAATTTACATACTAGACACATAGTCCTTATATATACTTGCCTCAGAATCCCTAGAAATTGTGAGTGAATCTAAAAATTGAAAATTACTTTTGCTTCTTTTGACGCTGTTGAAATCGTCCTAAACCCTACTCCAGGCGTGTGGTTATGGGTGCCGGATAGGGGTCAATGAACTCCGAGGCCTTCCAGCGTAATGCGCATGTGCAAAGTTCACAAGGTAGCCGCAACGAACGTGTCACTTCCGGGTAGGTTTCTTTCTTGTCTAAGGAAAGTCAGTTCATTTTGCGGTAAGAAGGAACAGTCCTAGCCAGAGTTTAGTTTATCATACAGTCACTAGATCCTGGCTATATTGATCTGAACGTTGTAGATGTTCTAAAATCACCGTAACCGGTAGTAAGGGTAACGTTACACCTTGAACAAACAACAGTTCTCTAACTAATACTTAAATGCATTATCGTAGTACATGTAAAAACAGGCATGTAAGTGAAGACGGGCGCGGTGCTAGCCCCTACCAGGACTGTGCTTGTTTTTGCAAGAAGCTAGATATACATGTAACTTCGACGGCTTATGGATGGAAGGGCCTCAAGCAGGAAGAGAGACAGGGGCTGGATACAGATCGCCC